ATAAGAGATATAGTGTCGCAGACATATTTTTATATCATTTAAAGAAGAATAATTCTTTCATACATAATTTTTGGTGTCGTTAACCGCTTTCGCAGAGATGAATAATTTTCCTCGTTTTTTCTACATTTCCCGCTGTCTCTTGCCTCTTATTAGTCACAGCGCGTTTTGTAATCCTTTATAGCCTTCCGTGATAAATGCTCTAACCAACACACATAATGTTTCAATTCAAACCAGTAGTCTCTGAGATTAGCGCGTTCAAACAAACAAGCAAACTCTTCCGTTTTATATATTAGTATAGATAAATGATTTTTTGTAAGAGACTAAATGTGTTGTTCAGATCACAAAATAAACTTCCGTATGTTATTTTAAACGTATAATACAAACAGTTTTGATGTCGTAAAAGTTAATTGAAATTCGTGGAAAAACTCAACACGTTGCGATTTATGTTGGAGCAACAAAAATGGAGGCGTTTTCGCGATGACTTTACTTTTTCAACTGAAAGGTATTTCATTAATTCAGTGAAGACTTGTAAAAACTAAAACTCGAAACACTCGTCTACATTTGTTATTAAATATTGTCGATATTTGGACAGTTTTAGTGAACAAAATTGTACTATAAAAATATATCTTCTGTAGATTCCACTTTTAACGGTTTAGAACGAGGATCACAGATGTTTCACAAGAGGAACATTTGTTTCGCCTTTTGAACCGATAAAAATATTCATAGAAACAATAAAATTTTCTACAGCCAAAGTTCGTTCGTTACACCGATCAATATTTGCAAGCAATGACAATATTACAATAAAAGTATAACATATGGATTATTATTTTATATTCAGTAGTGTTTTGTTTAACACTTAACAACAAGCGAGAAAAGAGTGTAGAGTAAGAGAAAAATCAAACAAAAAGAATAAAGACTCTCTAGTTTAAGCGAGTAGTACACATAAATAAAAAACCGTTTATCGATTTATAACACAATTAGTTAACCTATTTTTAAATTATCTTAACTACGAACCGACGTTTCGAATGCTTTGTCATAGTCGCTAGTGTGAATAAAGATGTAGGCTGTCCCTAATGTCAAAGTAAAAACGGCTATGGTGGTGCCATCTGTTCGTAGTTAGAGAGAACAATTGTAAAATGATAAACAAATAAGTTAACATGATATATTTCGAGTTAAACCGTTTATAATGGTTTCATACAATCTCAATATAATATTCTTTATATTCATATTGAGAAATTTGTTATTTGTCTTTTAATTTATTTTTATAACTCAATTATTGATATTGTAATTTAATTACTTGTCAAGATGTTATACGACAAACAAATATTATTTTGAAAGTCAACAGTATTTTATTTAGAATAAATGACTTATAAGAAAGTATTATATAACAATTACGAGACAGTAACGGAACTATTAATGTATTTAAACACACGTACACGATGTTACATTGTTTACGACAAACACTTAAGCTATGTTTAATTTTACGACACGGATTGCCTATCCTATATAGCCGTCGGGGCTCGGGATATTTATCTTAGTGGCAGGAAATAGAAGCTGTTTTTCTTTGTTATCGCCGACGGAATGGCTTACTGACCAACGTCATTAAAACTTAATAATGGCGGATATCCAAGCAACGCTTTATGTCCATGTGTTTATTGTGGAACCAGTAGATTGCCTTTTTATTAGCTTTTTGATTTTGTTGCTGAGGAAAATCTAGTGTGGAAAGCTATAAAATAGAAAATTATTTAGTAAATCCGAAATATACTCTCTAAATTTTTCTTTGTTATTTAAGTAATATGTTCCCTGCGTTAAATATTTAAGTTAAATGTAGGATACATTTAAAAATATATTATTATAAAGGAGATACTATTTATAATATAAATGAGTATTCTTCTATATTTTATAACGAAATCTATTTTAGATTAAGTAACGCCTAACACCTCACTAGCAAGATTTGTAAACCACAATTTCATGCTAAAATAATGAAACTCCTAAAGAGGAATTTACGTGAGTGCATAAATTAAAATTTCTTCATTTTGATATTTACATAGGGATGGTACAGTAGAAGGTAGAAGTACCAGTCCTGCACGATCGTTGAAAATCGTTACAAACGTAGAGTTATAATAATGACACAACAATAGACGTCATAAAAGTGATTTTGAATATTGAAGTTGTTTAGTTGCTATACAATCGATATTTCTTTATCCCTGTGTCATCTGTGGCACTAATTTCACTCTATAAAAGGTCATCCCTACTTCTCTATGGTTTTAAATCGGCAACATAGGTTGTGGTCGTTTGCCAAGTTAGAAAAAATACAGTACGTTTAGCATTTAATTACAGACTTACGTACAATGTAACTGTCAAATTTTCTTCAGTTTTTGTCAGAAAAGATATCTAAAATTATTGCTTCTCCTTAACAGTTGTATGATTAGCACCCACATTTGCTGCTAGGCAATGTATAATCGAGTTTGCATATGCAAGAGCATGGAGGCAGACGGTTCAATTTGATCCCCATATCCGAAAGCAGTTATTGAACAAATTCGTTAAATGAGCTTTTTATTAGGAACGTTATTAAAATCTCTTATCCAAAAATAACGCAGTCTTTAGCAAATAGGTGTATAAGCCAAATTTTCAGCTCTTTTTTAACCAAACAAAATGGGAATTTTTTAGCATGTAATGACTTAGTTCTGTGTTTAATTAAATAAGACCTTTATAGCTTGTATTTCCATACCACGTAAGTGCTAAGTTAATTTTTAATTTTATGCAACCACAGTAATAATTTTTTTATGCTCTCTTTAACTAGTTTAACTGCTCAAATATTTAAATATTTTGTTTATCTATCACATAGTCATAATAACTAGTACGGGTATATATAGAATCAGGATGGCCTATATCAGAATGTTCCATGTTTCACGTGGGTCAGAAACTCGACAAAGTCACAAATTGATTCTCAATTTCTATATCTCTTAACTTCACGATTAACAAATATAACGCTAACACCTTTAATTAGCGTATTATACTATTAAATCAACTTAGAAACTGTAAAGATGCGTCAAGTCGATTAGACGTTAGAGAGTGGTGCGTTGAGATTCTTGATTCCAAAGTAATAAGATGGCCGCCCCGCTTCCACGTGACGTTCCGTAAGAATGGCGGCTGACATATGTCATGCTACTTTTCTGTTCCGACGTCGTCGACAGAAAACGTCAAATTTCATGTGTCGCGCCGTCAAGTGCTATCTATTGTACATCGTATATTTTTAATAAGGTATGTCTAATTTAGACGTTACATAATAATAAGTTCAATTCTTGTAAGTATAATATCCATCAGTAAATGTTTTGGTATTAGTTTAATAATCAATTTTACTCCAGGGGATTTAAACTCTAAGAAAAATTACAGAACTGGTTTTAAACATCCTGGTGTCAAACCGTTTGCCATACGTTGCTAACACCGACGAGTCTGTTAAAACGACGTCTAACGTTTTCGATATTCTGCCTACTAACTTGAATTTGAACGGTCGAAAAATGCTCAAAATAGTGTCCAATCTATTTCCATTGGAAAGTCATGCATGAATAAATCGCGTAGCGAGAATATCCATTATTCCATGAGAATCCCAGTTCACAGGTCACCGAAGGCTTTCACGATTTTTTTCTTTTATGGAAAACCGAACGCTAAGCGATCTATAGCTTTTGTTGTTATTTCATTCCGAGTTAAAGGTAGACAAAGACGTTAACTATTACTAGTTCTTTGTTATCTGAAATCATTTATTTCTAGCTGTTTCAGCGACATCGTCCGCTAAGAATATTTATTTTGGGCATCCAAATTCGATTTTGGAAATCTTTACAAAGTTAAGCGGTCGCGTCCCTTCGCGTCGTTCTAGCAAGTTAACTTTTTAAAGATATACAATAGCGTCGTGTTTATAATACATAAATAAAAAATAAAAAAAATATATACGTAATATAATTATAAATTTGTTATTCCTTTTCATCTCTTTTGGAATAGAATTTCGGATAGTCTCTACTTGTAACGTCATACAAGAAACAGATGAAAGTTTAAAATTTATTGTGTGTTGTGTTGTTGTACTCATCATTAAAGACAGACAAGATATATATTTTTTATATAGGTTTTTTAATAGTTAAGTATTCTGTAACTACACATATAATTTTTGCCTACAAAGGCTTAAATGTTTTCTTTGTAACTTGTAATTTGTATTTCATTTCTTCGTAATAAATGAAGGACTGAAAGGGATGGGCCCATATAATCCTTAATAATAGTCAACGGGACCGCACAGTTGTTTATGTTGTATGCTTATGTCATCTTATGCGTAATCAATTTTTAAAATTGGATCAGTAAAAGTCTGTAGTATTATTTGCACGTGTAAATAAAGCACCTTTAAGGGTGTAAAAAACGAAATCTTAAGTTAAACTTATTTCCACATTATTTTATAATATTAGTTGTTAAAATAATTAGTAACTAAGTATAATAATATATCTCGTTTTAAACAGTTAGAAAAGATTTATTTAAAAAAGGTAATGGCATTCAACAAGACCGACTATTGTAATGTACTGTGCATTATTTTAGTGACAGAGGAGAATATATATAAGTGTCCTTGATTGAATACTACAACCGTAAAACACTTTCGTAAGAGTTATCGACCTGTTGTGGTTGGTTGGACCCTTTGGATTTTAAGAAATCGTTAAAAACGTGTTTAACTTCACGGCTATTTCATCTGTGTCGAGTCCTAAATGAGATTACTAATCTTTTAACGTAAATTTTGTATGGCCCTATAGAACATAAATAATTTAAATATATCTGTTTCTGCTGCATTTTCTCCGTTAAAGATGTGGTTTGTTGTTCCGCGTACTGCCAATTCGGGTTAGCTCCTTAAACACCCTTCCACATTAAGTAGCCCGAGCCGATACCCCGTTTGGAGCACCTTCCTCCAGCCTCAATTAGTGAGAGCGACTAACTACGCGGAATTTATAAAAAAAAATGATACTCACGTGTACAATGTCTGGGTTCATCCGAAGCGTCCCCGCAGTCGTTACTGCCATCGCAGAACCGGTTTATGGGCACGCATTTCTTGTTGAAGCACTGGTACTCGGAGACCCGGCATCGGGAGTCGTTGCTGTGCAGCACGGGCAGAAGTTCCGGCTCTGGGACTTTGTATACGTCCTTTTGGGTTTTTGGTGCTTCGGACACCACGTCGCAGTCAGTGAGGTGTATTGATAGGACGATAATTAGGATCTTCGTGGCGATTGGGAGGATATCTGAAACGATAAATATTTTGTCACACTTCAACGGGGGCTTTGATTTTCTTTCCTAGATGAATATATTACATATTATCTATATAACTATTATGTATGTATGTGCATTAGGTTGAAAAAAATCGACGATGACGTCTAGGGCAATTGGTTGGAGCAACCGCACGAAACGCGGTAGATGCCGGCTCAAGTACTGCACGTAAGGGTCTTTTTCTAAAATCGAATCCTTATTTATTTAATGCCATCATAAAATGAATATTAAAGTTTGAAAAACTTTAATACCTTTCACATCTACATTCACATGGTAGCACTATATGAATTAAAAGTCGATTATAAATTGAAAAAAAATACGATTCAGACACGACTTCTTCAAAAATATATAATATGCATATGACATCGATTTTAAAGAGAGTTTAGGATACCTATAAGAATATGAAGATAATGTATGAAAATATCCTACACACGATACTTATATTTTCTGTGCGAGTAGTACACATTTAAGTAAAACATTTTTAACCTTTTAAAACGTGAAGTGTAATAGTAAAAGCTACTTAGAAATTGATTTAAACGCCCCCTTTTTAAACCGTTAAAAGTGTTTAATTTAAATGTAGAATTTTAAAAAGGTATCAAAATAAAATCGACCTTGTTTACTAAAGATGAAAAAATTGTTTATGGTTAATTCAATATTTTCGATCTCAAATCAATCTCTATTTATAGAAAAAATATGTTCTTTCGTTTATTCATGAGGAAGAACTAATTGGATCTCCGTCTACAGAGCAGAGCTATAGTTAATTTATGTTGATGCCTTGTGAAAGCGCCTAATAGCTTCTTGGAGTTAATAGGAAGTAACTAGCTGAAGGGAATGTAGAACTTACAGATGTAAGATAATTTAATTTCACCTTACTTGCTTTCAGAGGCAATTTTGGGTTTGTATACGTGTATGTAGAGTTTGACAAGTTGCTATATAGCATGAACTAGTTGATTATACAAGATATCAACGGTAAAGCCAGTTGATGTGATAGTGGATGTGATAAAAAACAAGATATATCTATCGGAAACGTCGGGCCGTAGTTAAAAATAAATTTCAAACAAGTTTAATTAAACTTCGTACTAAGTTCTTACATGCTAAGGAACAAGTAGAAGAGATTATAAACAACTAAGTTTTTAAGTAACCCTTTTTTTTAAGTAATTTAAACTTGGAAGAATCATTCTTATAATTTTTATTTCAGTAGATTATGGGGTGAACGGCGGCTATATTTTGATTTATTTATAAATAAATACAAAAAAGTATAATTAAAATATTAGGTATTTTAAAAATTAGAGACCGGACCACTTATTAAAGTTAAGTTAAATTAAGTTTCTCGAGCAATTCACCATTCTTTAAATACGTTCGTTTGCTAAATTTGTACATCAGGTGTTAAGATAAAAATATTTTTGTAATTGTTAGTACTTACAACAGACATAAAATAGAATCCCACGAATTCTTCATACAATGTAAACGTTTACGAACCGTAACAATGTCGACTAACTAAAAAGCGATCGAAATACCCGCTTTTAGAAGCTCTTCAAAGTTGTAATGTAAAATTATTTTCTAAAAGATTCCCCGAAGATATACATAATTCAAAAGAAAAATAATATCTTTGTGTGCTTGCTCATCGGGCGAAATTTTTATTCCGCCGAGTTGAGAGTATTTTCCGAAGCTGTAATCAATCTTCGTCGTTGCTTCGATGACACCATTTCATACTGTGCTTTTATTGAATCCTTAAAGCCGAGGTTTTATTACAAGCGGATGAGTAAACTAGGTACTAGTAATGTAGGCGCAGAAGATTTCTTTTCACTAAAGTAAGAGGTTCACACCATCGAAGGTGAAACACCATGTTACACCACCTCAACAAGATGTGCTACTTAGTTTTGATGTTCCGATAAAAATCAAACTACTTTCAAAGGATTTAAACCCCATCACTGCATGGAAGGTAAAATGTCCCAGATTTATAAAACGACGAAGATGCGGCGTCGATCCATTTTAGATATTCGGATTTTTATCTGAATATCTAAAATAGGTTGAACTACTTAAAAAGCTTTTTATAAAGTAATAATAATTTTACAATATTTTTACAAGTTCTGAAGTAAATGTATGATCTTATAATATAGTTATTATTATAATATTATACTAGCTGCTCGGCAAACATTGTTTTGCTATATAAATTATTTATAGGGAATTGTGAAAGGATCTGGTAAGACCGGCGGTCTCATCCTTACCCCGTACTAGGGCGAGAAGTGACACCGGTAGACGCCTGGGGGGGGGGATAACTTATTAATTAGCAGTTGATCTAAAAAGGATTACTAATAGATAGAGGGGTGAAAATGAATGTATGTATTTAATACTACATTATAAACATTTAAATAATATTAAGAATGGATAACCCTTATCGCGTAGGGGTATGAGAAATAAATAGTAACTAATATTTAGATCCCAGAAGGTCAGTTGCATATAAAATTTCATATAAATCGATATAGTACTAACTATGACAGAAGAATTTTATAAATAAATACTTAAGTTAGTATATTGAACGTAATATGTACTGTTTAAGTAAGCAAGCAGTTTCCCTCTAATTGTTAAATTATAATTATGTTTATTTTACGAGAATCCTTATCAGCATGTTAGTAACTCAATGTTTGCGAACCTGGTTGAGTAAATACATAAATGTGACTGGGTTGGGCGTAGGCGTACATCTCGAGATGGAATTTAATATGATTTTAAATATTGTCTATAGTTGACGCGAGTATTTATTTAAATTAAACACGTTTATGGTTTAAAACACGTAATATTAAGATTGTAGGTAACCACGGCTGCGGTTGCTTGGCAGCAGCCATGGTTACAGGTGGTTGGATGCTCTTAGTTAATATAGTTAATATATTTCCCGACTTAAACAGTTAAAACTTTTTATTTAAGCATTGGTTTATATCTAGCTCAAAGAAGTAATTATGTTAGCTATGTATCTTTTATTTAATTTTCGCCATTGGAGCACAATATTCAAACGCAACGCAAACGACAAAGAGGTTTTCGCTCGAGACCCGAAAACCGAAAAATTAATTGTTTCAGTCAGGCATCGCGACTTTGCCTGTTTATTTATAGAATAATTATAGAATACCCCAAGAATCAGACGCGGAAAATCAGTTATCATTTTCTTTAACGTTAAAATCACGTAATATTTCGTTAATGTTTTTAATACAAATAAATATTTGAATCAATAAGTAAAAAAGGCCCGCCATGATACAAAATGGCCGAACCTCGCGTTTGATTGAAAATAAATTAAAAACCTAGACATCGAAAACACATTTTTATTTACGAGTTCAGTGAATATTTTCAGAGTTTTTCAATTTTATCTTCCTTCGGTATCGTTCCAGGCCGTTGTTCCACTTAGATGTAAGGATAAAAGCGACGAAAATAAACTCTCAATTGTTCTGAAAATGAAACAATGTTCTTTTAATAACCATTCCACAATTATATTCAAGCCCGAAGAAGTGGTATTTTTATTTTTATTCGACAACGCTGCCTACAACTTAAACAGACTAGCAATTGGATCATATTTTTATAACAGAGAAGATATGTAAGCAATTAAATGAAACACTTTTAACGGCTTAAAACGCAATGTATTAGTTAACTTGTTTACAATTTATTTTATTGGCTCAACGTTGCGAATTCTTGTAGCAGCCATGGTCACGGGGTTACGAACAAGAGGACACCGTTAGTCAGCTCTGTAAGCGCCCAGCTAGTTTTTCCAAATATGAAGTACGTCAAAACAGATGGCGCTAGTGTGGCAAATTTGACGTTGACATTAGGGAAACGTCAGGCAACAGTTAAAAAATTATTGTGAAGTAGTTTACAGTTGAGTAAAACCATTTTAATGATTGAAAATACGAAATAATTTAATTTATTTATTGTAACTCCATTTCAAGTTTTAATCCGTTAAAAGTGCTTCATTTAAAATTGTTAATTTGTGAGTATTACAATACCTTTCGCGTTAACAAATTGTAAAAATGCTTAGTCTAAAATTATAATTTTGTGTGTAAAATGATTTGAATTTATTTATTTTAATAAATTATAATACTTAATGCATTCGTATAAAAATACATATATCCTAAAAACTTTTCCTAAAAATGAATTTCCGATTTTCCACTCCGACCTTCCAGTATATTTGTCGAGGTGACGAAACGGAGGTCGTCCCTTCCTGACGCGACATCTGTCACCAGCGAACATATCCTGGCTTCAACTATTCATAACTTAATATTGGAACTGACAGATATTGGCTTGATAAAAATCTTGTCACTCACATCCGTTGCATATTCTGAGTTAAATAAAATATAATTTAGTCATTGTTTTTTTTTTTTGTCGATAAAACCAAACGTTTAAATTTTTTTTTTTTTTTTTTTTTTTTAAATTTTTTTTTTGACAAAAACACCAACGGGGCAAACAACCCCAAAACCTTCAAACCCAAAAAAGGTTTTTTTTTTTTAGGGGGTTTTTTTTTTTTTTTTTTTTTTTTTACCCCGATGGGGGGGGGTCGACCCATTTGTCGTCGCATATTCGGAATTCCACAGACTAAAACCGAAACGCGATTAAACTCTATAAAACTTTATTATCTGTTTTATTAAAACAATTATTGTATTCATAAAACAAATGCTGTGGTGTTCATAATCAATAAAGTGAAATAAATAGAATCAAATATCTGGTTTTAATTACTAGATTTTTGGTCAAAGTCAGTATAGTATGTTTAGAAAAAATATTAATTGTTTAGACTTTAGAAACATGTAAGATATCAAATCAAACCCACAAATTTCGTATTTTAAGCCATTATAAGTGCTTTATTTAAATGTGTACTACTCGCGTAAACTACAGGCAACCAACTTCTTATAATAAAATATAATACAATTTAAATGTGTCGGTCGTAACATTTCCTTACATAAAGGATAATTATGCTTGAAGTTTAATTTCCTGTGTTTTA